ATATATAATGAAAGGAATCAATTCAGGCCTACTTAATACATTTGGTACTGGTTGTATTGGTGTATTTATATGTGCCATTCCCGATGGTCTATCACAGTAAAATACCATTATTTGGTTATTGCTTACTACAATTGGCACTCTCATATCTATTTGGTTGTGTTTGTGCAATGCTATCCGAATTACCAGCATTGAATCTGGAAAGGATTATTTTCGCGAGTGAACATAAAGCTGTTCTACAACCAATCGATGTGAAAGACTGTGAAGTGCAATTGAAACCGATCAGTTTGAAGTAAATTATCTAATGAATTGTTACTGCTTTATTTGCTTTACATCTAAATCATTGTGTTGTGATTGTTACGACTGACTACTTTTAATTGATTCACTAAAAACATCACATGAGACGCGCGCATTGAATCTGGGTGAAGTATGAAATTGAAGAATATTTCAAGAACTAAGTCGCATCATCTGTAAATAATTTATATTCATGCATGAATTTATCGTTTTGCTGTTGTTTTTCTGAAGTGCTTCGATAAAGCATTTCATTCTCACATATCTCTTGTCGATTCCTTCCAATAAATAACGTGCACTTATTATATCCTTAATATGTCTTTCATAATATCAGTAATACTGTATTCACAATCAGATATTCATCTAAATCATACTGACTTTAAATATTAATCGTGAAAGCATTTCTGTCTGAGGGAATTGCGCATCCTTCGAATGATTACAAATGAATTAATTAGCATATTTGTCGTTTCAGAGATAACCTCGTTCTTTCATCGTTCCATCCAGCATGGGATTAATTTTCAAAATTTTATCCCTTCATTGGCACTGAATTTCTCAAAAAAAGAAGATAAAACGAATAAAGTGATATTGCTGTAGGATGGAAGGATTATTAAATGAGCAATCGAATAGTTGATTAATTGTAATTAAATAATTAAGATTCATTTTCAGTACGTATATTATTCGTCCCAATCGAATCTCTAAGCATTCTTCCAATGCCCAGTTCAACGGTTGTTTACGCAAGCGATCAACAAAGCAAATAAATGTCAGCTGATCATCACCTAGTTCATAAACTGCATAAAATAAATGTATTTTGTTACATAAGTGCTAATTTCATGTTTACATCATCCACGAGACTTCTAAAGAAGAAGAAAACTTTACTGATACAGTGGAAGACTGAAATCAAACAATTTACACGTAGACGTCCAATGCATTAGGTACAATAACTCGGCCGTAACTGCCTAAAATGAACTCTGTGGGTAATGTCTTTTCAACGCTTGCAATAATTTCAACATTTGTACGTCAGTGACTAAACAAGTATTCTTCAAAAACGAAAATTGCAGCTTCACTGACTGATTTATTAATTGATATATTGATAACGACCACATGTTTCTTCTTCGTTCAGAAAGGTTATGATTGGCTTTGGTATTATGCTAAGACAGCCCTGAAAAGCAGAGTTCTTTTCACTCAACAATTTCAATGATTCAATTCAGCAAAAAGCACTCTCTGTCAGCACTAAGAATAACAGCTAACGCAAAAATTGGCTAATACATAATCAAAAAGAAATCCATTCTACAGAAGAAAAGTCGAATATGAATTTTTCTTTTGACAAATCTCAAAAAAGGAAGAAATTAAAAAAACAATGCAAAGTTTACAAATACCTCTAACCCATTCACGCATTTCTCAGCATCGCAGCTAAATGCTTCTCGATAATGCAGTTCGTTGGCAAATCGATAACGATCGAATAATGTTTTCAGAAGTACCTATAAAATCTGTTTCACTACAAAAGGTACCTTTCATGGTATATAGCTCACTAATCAATTTTCGAAATTGAGTGTGAGTACTTTGCGAATGCTATAGTGTCATTAACAGAACTGAATACTAGTGCGTTCGCGTCATAAATATGCCATAAAACTGATGCTTATCTGAATTCTCACAATAATTGTAAGCAAAAGACCGTACCTCAAAATGCATACGCGCTTCAATCAGCCTCTTCCTATCCGCATCATCTGATTCAAAAATCTTCTGTAACATATTCATTATTCTTTATCAAGGTTAATTTCCATTTCTATCAGTTACAAACATTCTTTCAAAATTGTCGCCGAATTAAAATTCATTCAGTTAAAATCAATAATCTGTTTCCAAATAAACATGATGATGCATACTTACTGGGAATAAATAAACCAACTGTCTCTTAATGATTACATAAGTAATACGTAAAATTATGTAAATAAGATTGAATGGAGGCGGCACGGCTGTATACCATTCGAAGTATTCGCTATAAATGTGCGCACGAACATACTTCCACTCGAATTCTTCATTCCTCTGTGAAAGCGATAAGAAAAGTTATTACACAACTCAATGAATTTTCATGTAATCAAAGCTAGCGTTAGCAGGGTGGTTTTCACGCTCGGGTGCTCCATTCCCCATTTTGATGATCTGACACGTCGTCGTTACCCCCTCCTCCTTCCTGATACAAAAACTTACAATTTCTACATATAACATCGGGAACAAAAGGAAAACCGAACCAAAAATTCCTCAGTGGCGTGAAAGAAATTAGTTTTCTGGAATGAAACAAGTATTTTCAGCACTTTCCAAACCAATGATCTTTTTTGTTGTACTAAAGTGCTTACTCCACTTACTGCTCATGAGGAACGATGTCAGCCAATACAATGAAGAACTTACGAAACATTTGTGACTGAATAGACTTTTGTTTAGGCCCGCATGAGCTAATAATACTCAAAAAAATAGTAGGAAGAAGAGTGTTGCCATGAACTAACCGCATTTACATACCCAAATGAAAAAACACCATCACGATGGCGTTCTATCATAACATAACAACTGCACAAAATACTAATTTCACGATCTCCTCCGTTACCCCCAACAAGACCTCCAAATTAGCCAAAATGGGTAAATCCACCCCTTATGAGAACCACTGTGTTAGCACATTTGGTTTATCTATTTCACATCAGATCAACGATAAAAGCACATGAAATGAAAGACGATCAACCTGCACTTCATCAGCTCGTTTCACTAATATAGTAACCATCAAGTTGAGTAACGTAACAACAACAGTGATATGGAATATGGCAACAATCACTTCACCAGCAATTACCGTGAACACATGCTGTGCACGTTCAGCATTTGGGCCCACATTCCCAACAATTAGTGTATAGTCCCATGGAGCCAAATAGCCGTAGAATGACCAATATAACTGACGTAATGTTTTCAATATTCTATAATGTCGGTTCTTTTTATTGCCTGACGTGATAAGAAGATGCAAAGTTGAACGATTAAATTGAGGCTCCGTTCAGCGATGAGATGGCATAAAATTCTTTTAAAATAAAATGTCATGAGATAATAAAAAACCAACCCATTGTAAGTATTTTGCATCACTGAATGAGTGCCATCAATATTGATGACTTTATTACCCAAATATGGTTCATAAATACAGCTGATACCAATTGAAAAACACCACATCACAACGGCCATTATGGTTAGGAATGAAACGACATCGGCAACACAACATGCGATTGAAATCTTAATAATGCTTATCTCTTCGTCATGTTGATTATGTACGCAAACACCTTCATGATCCCATCAATGATCAAAAAAATGAATCAATTTACTTCCTTTTTGCTATTCATATTATTAGTGTATCTTCCTGAAACGCACATTCTTTCTGTTCATCATCAATATATTGCGGAACATTCTCTAAAAATTTCACCAACTCTTACCACTGTTGAACCAAGAATACGTCTAAGTTGCACGTAATAAAATATTCTCCAGAATGCCAGTATGCATGCACTACCAAAGCAAATATCGTACATCATCGAAAAATCATAAAAAACCTAAAAGTACCATTTGAAGAAACGAACAGCCTAATACGTACAGTTATCCAGAGAATATTGCTTATATGGATACCTACATATCTAGAAAGCATACAGTCACTCAAATTAAGCAGTCCTCAATCGGTACGGAGCAGCACGCCATCAAAAGTTTGATCATCACCAGTGACCAAACGTGTAGGGAGTAGAGAGGTATGCTCAGAAAAGTGCTGTCTGATCTCTGATATTTACATAATTAAATATGACGCTCCACCAAATACATAAAGTCAGATTTATCAGTGACACCTTGAATTTCAAGAATGAAAAATGAGATAGCAGTAACCATGATGAACGAATACTGAATTAACGATCAACAAAATTCACCCAATGTTTGCGATGCAGTTTCATTAATCCATCTTGTCGATAAACTGCCCAGGTCATAACTTTACAAAAACATGCACCAGAGAAAAGCAACAATAATATCAAATCAAACCTTCAAAATACAGTAATCAAGTCAGCTGGCCTGACTTCAGTGTTTTATCGTCTACTGTTCTGATTAATTCGAAATAAAAGCATTGTAAAAATGCATTATCATCGTTAAAAGAAAAACCCCTCGAAGTAAAAAGTGATGTTACGGCTGATATTAAACGGGTTAGCGCGAAAGTGTCGAAAGATCAAAAGTTCGAACAGGATTAAGCTGAGCTTAGGTTTAGCCTTGAACTAAAACCACGTGCTCTGAATAACTGTCCGTTAATCACTGTTCCAACCCCGCTTTCAGGCGACGCTATTGAAGGCATCAATGAAAAAAACGCAATCCAACTGAACAACTTACCAAACCCACCACATTTCATAAAATGATGCCATACCACGAGTATAAAGATCCAGATAATGCCTTAAAGCCATCCCTAATGCATAGACATAGACGTAAAGGTGAAGAATTGTCTCAATTGCTATAATAGAACAAAATTTGTCACTGATCAAAATACTACAATATCATAATAAATGTATTTTCCTTGCAGGCGAATCAGAATGCAATTCTTAAGTGGTATTTAGATGATTGTCACAAACATAATAAGCTGATACTCACAAGTGTGATCGGCTGACCGCTGTGTTCCATAATTACCATAACTCTCAGATACACGTAAAAACAACAATACGATAAGCAAGAAAATGAAGCTTGTCATTTCACTTAAATATCTGCAGTTATCAATTATTACCCATGAACACGAAACGACAAAGGATAGCACTCAATTTTCTAAAATGAAGTTCCTTTACACCACAGTGTACAAATTTAACAAAATCAGTTTGTGAATATGATCAAAAAAGTGGACCTTGCGAAAGGACAATCATACGATTTCACACAAGAGCCCATAGAGATGGTGTGCACGAAAGAAGTTAGCGGATAGAAAAAAGTATGTTTCATCATATTCCACATATTGCTTTGGTTATATCTTTTACAATTTCGCTGAGTCCATTCACTCCATCCTCCGAACCAACTGACTTTCAGTGCACATTGTGCGTTTATAGTTGAAATAAACTTAAGTGATCCGCTTATTCCACTTGATCAAATAGAATCAGTAAAAATTTTTGAATTATTTTGACATTTTGCATTCTTCTAGGTCGTTCTCTCTCGTTCTCTCAGCAAATGGAACTGTTTGCAGCAAAAAATTGATGATTTTATCGAATATTATTCACAGTATCCTCACAAATTGTTTAAAGGCTCCCGAAATTATTATCCACTAGCTAATGTGTGAATATTTTTTCTTTTGCAAACATTTTTTGAGATACTGCCAGTGATTTGGAATTTTATTGCACATATACGAATACTAGCAACGACAAACATTCTTCATTCCAGCATCTAAAGCCATACGAAGACGTGGTAAACGCAGTGGATCATCTACCAAAGAGACATGCTCATCCTCATTGCGAGATAACAACAAATCCACTTCCTTCATATCCCAACATCTTTCAATAAACTGAACTGCGAAGAACATGACTTTCTGGTGTAATTGTTGGTACGCTACCTAAATAACCATTGAGGTAGTAATGTTGATTTATGACAAAAGAACGATTATAGTTCTCATTTGGAATAAAACAATTCACCTGAAGCTGAGTTTTATTATATGTAAAAACAAAGCCTCAAACAATCAAAATATCAATCTGGCACCGACTTTGGAATTTTATTGCACATATACGAATACTACCACCGACTGATCAAATTGAAACTGATGACGACTTCAAGCGACAGCAACAGATTATACGTTTACTTTCGTGATTTACTCTCAAAGGGTACTCACAGTGAAACTGACAATGATAATAATATTACCCGGTATTCTTGGTCGCATTTCATACATACCTCCAGGTCGGTAGCTAGTTCAAATGAAGCATAAAGCGGATCGCAGCACGCTAACCAAAGGAAAGCTTCACTTGTCATAGCTCGGTATGTATCAAGGGTTACTAAACCCTTTGTGAGGCTTCTTGTGCATTGCTTGCAAGTTACACACACACCTAAACCCAATTTAGCTTTAATTTAGAGGCTATGTTGTCAGAAAATAGGAAATTAAAAAATATGATAATAAATATAAAAATAACAATCAAGACGATGCGGCAATGATATGGAGTGACCACGAAGAAGTAGACATTGTACGATTGCAAAATTGTTGCATACAGAAGCGAGCATTAATGGTGTCATATGCGGTGGGAATGCACTGGAATAGCGGCATCCTGAATTGAGTCTTTATTTCACTCAGTACAATTAACATTTCAAACATAAAAAAAGTTCTCGAATTTCGAAAGGTTATTCCCATGATCATCAAATAAACTTTTTAATATTCGTTTCATTTATCGTTGAAGAAGGTTACATACCAGTTCGTTCCTCTGAGGGGAACTCATAAAAAAGCGAAAGAATGAATTCTACAAGTGGACGACTTCCAATACAAATTGCTGTCATTAAAGCTTCCTTCGTTGGTTCAGCTGTGTATCTATCGAGCACCAACTCAGTGAGACGATCTGATTGTTCAACCTATGGTTACGAATGAAATTTATATGATGAAAATTACATTAATGAGAGTAATCAACCAAAATAATTTTACAAGCATCACACTTACATGCATGTCACATCCAAATGAACTGAAAATTTTCTTGACAGAATCGTAGTCACGATTGACTACAGCGAATCTGAAGTTGCGTAGCAATGGACCAACTCGATCCTCCTTTTTCCATTCCACACGACCCGCATAACGACCGACCTTTGACGGCACCTGATAACTGCACTGTTCATCGTCAACACTATCTCCTAACAGTTTGCTCATTGACATCTTTAAATTGATACGGTGCTATGCCGATAATAAGTGAAGAACCGTACGGAAACGATCACAACCAGAACAAATAATGAGATTGCATTAATCATGCGACAACCATCCGAAATATTTGCCACCTCAACTACTAAGTTCAAAAATTTGCATAAATGACATGTAGTAGCGCAGAAAAATTCAAGCAAAGGGCCATTTCTGGAAAGATGTCACATGGACAGCAATGACCCAATTTGGTGCATGAATACTACCAATGCTCAACGTTTTGAATCCCATCGAGTGCAAAAAAATTCTTTGAATGCATTTCAGTGACAGTATCATACTACGGGTTTGCTCATTTCAAAGTCTTATGATCGGACCACCCAATTGGCCTGTAGAGCTTCAGTGTGTCAGGTTATTTCCATAAATCACGATCCAATTAGTTATATGTATTTTGTGGAGCAATGTTTTGTCCTGGGGACGTTTCGCTGGAACTCTTATGTCATAAAACGTTTGGTTAATGCAATTCAATCTCTCATGAACTATGACGTAAAAATGCAAACAAGTGAAGCAAGGGTTCTCGAAATGTGGGTCATACCACCCATTAGTGGCAGTAAGTAATATGAGAATGGGCATGTTTGGCAAAAGAGTCGGTAGGTGGGAGAATATGACTTCTAGTTGGTGGTTTTGGGCTTTATGGGTTAATGAAAGCCATTCAACTTTCCCGATCTCACCATAAATTGCTAGACGCAAGTTTTATTGGTAATAACTTTGGCTGAAATTCTGTATGGAATGTTTGTCAACGAATATAAATCATTTGTTGTGTTGCACTTAAGACCTGTTATGGTCATGTTTTGTGCATCACCCTGATGCGCGTAATTCACATTAAACAATTTGTGGTCATGTAAACAGAGCGATTATCTCGTAGCACTGATAAGTTCGATAATGAATGATTTGATTTCCTTCATTCGGTATTCAACGCTTCAAGTAAGGGACAATTCCAACGAAGTAAACCAAAAGAAACGTTTATACATTTCCTCTCCCAGCGCATTATATTATAGATACAGTTCAATCGATGCTGATTGTTGCTTTCATAGTTGTACTTTCAAACTAAAAGTATTATTCGATAAATAATGATTTCGCAAACAAGCATATTCATATTTAAGGACAAAGCAGTGAATTCTTAAATATTATAATCGCGGTTTGCTCAAATCGCAAATGGAAAAAGAATACTGGAAAACAAGAAAGCCATTACTTTCATTACTTCTAACGATTAGTAATGGACATTAGGATTGAATTTTAAACAGTGTGAGATATTATAGTTCACGCCCTCGTTTACTGAACAAATCATTGTTAATCACGCAAGGTGGTAGAAAACTCTTCTTAAGATCGTCGTTTCTTCTTCCCACAAATGGCTTAACTCCAATATTTTTGTCACTCAGCAATAACGATGGAAGTCATAAAGATACTAGTAAAATTGTCCGTTCTCTATTCATGAACATCGAATTTTTGCGATAGAACGCAAATGATCATTCTTTACTTGGGACATTTTATCTTGAGAATGGAACATTGTAAGAATAACAAGGTAAGACCGAGCAAAAAGATTAAAGGAACTAATTCGGTGAAAAGTGTAAGGTTTGTAAACACTGATAAACGCAATAAATATTACTTACCATCCACTAGTACAAGCGCAATGGGTCAGGAGTACAGAACAGTTCATCCTTCAATTGTGCCTCATGTATGTACATCATTTCAAATCGAAGCAATTTGGATGAATTGAATCGGTGACTGAAGGAAGTGGTGAAGAATGAGATGAAGCAACAAGAAGGAAAAAACGATTGCAAAAACGATTTCTGTTCCAGCTCAATCTGCTATATGCAGTATCAGATGATTTATACCATCACCTAGTAATGAAGATACTAGTACAATTAATAAGGTGGGCGCATTTAATCCCAACTGATATTTTTCAAGAAATTCTCATTATTCTAAAATAAGCATTTTAATTTGACTGACTGTTTCTCAATCACATTGTCCTGCAACAGTTTCAGCGCTCACAAGCGGCACGGAACGCGGAACTTAAATCGACCTCAATAGGAAACAACAGTTTTCGGATTCTACGGTCAATCAAGCTGATTAGAAATGCTGAACATAGTCTGTTTTGTACGATACCCATGTACGATACCCATCAAATGATGTTGTGTACTTTTGTTGCATTGGTCGAATACTGATGCGCATTGCTATTCGGAATAACTGGTCCGTCTTTTATAATATACTTAGGAAAGGTTGAAAAACAGATAAACAGACTAGCTTAATGCCTTCGTCAACACCAGTTAATAAGGTCTGTTTGATTTGCACTCAGCGGTACCTGTCGGTGCAGGTTGAAAGTGTGCGTCAGATTGATCAGTCTTGCTTTGTACAGCTATGCTCAAATTCGTCTCATTAATTGGTCTTGCTTCAATTTCAGTGAAATTTCTGCTCGATTATCCGTTCATGTATGATGTTCCTAACATCTCAAAGGTGAATGTTACTTTTCTATAAAATGTTTCTCTTTTCAATCAGCTTTTCCTCACCATTTTGGCACTTCTTATCTAGAGATTCAATTCCACTCGTTTTCTTTTAACAAAAATTTTTTTCTACGGTCACAGCACTTAACAGATGGTGTCTTTTAGGATATTTGAAAGTTTACATTAGTTTGAATTGAAACGATTTCGATATTTAATAATTTACACACCTATGAACAATTATCTATTTTCGTACCAAGTGGCTGTGCTTTGCATATGATAAATTTGGTTCAGAAAATACCATACATAAATTTACTCACAGGATGATTTCTTCGGTTCGGGTGATGTTCGAGCTGATGAGCGAGATATTACTCAATATACGATTAAAATTGATCGATCAGCAGTTGATAACTTCAAGGAAAATGTGAAACTGAAGCGGGCACAACTTGTTTCTGAATTGGAAGAATCAAGGAACGTGGTGCAGTCGACTGAAAGTAAAATTTATGTGAAGGACCTGTATAAGAGTATGCTGACTTTCGACTGGCCACAGCATCAGTACTTTCTGAATACATTTGCACAATACAGGTTGTTACGCAATTTTGATTTGCCTCTTATTCTAACGAAGAAATCTGGGAAACGACATTCACAACTGCTAGAAAAGTCTCATAGCTGAAATGACTTAGTTCATCGCTATTTCCGACCAGTACAGGTTGTTACGCTTATATAATCAGTCTGTTCAACAGCTTGATATAATTCATGTGGGAAGCATATTGACAAAATAGCGCTCGTTATTAGGATGAGTTAAATTCCAAGCGAAAACGATGTGTTCGCAAAACAACCCCGAAAAGCATACAACTGAAATTTTGATAAATGATCCCCTGAGCACATAACTGAATGCTATATTTACAACTGGAACTTGCATATCACCTGAGGGAATAACCATTCAAGTAGAGCACTACATCGCCTAACTCCAGACACAACAGAAAAAGAGTCAGCATTTATCAGTATTGATCGATTACGCTAAATTTGATTGATCAATTCAATAAAATTGCTTTCTGATAACTTTCAGGACCGAAATCGAAGGACTACGCGTTCATTTCGCTAGAATTGCATATCCTGATTCATATAAACGCATCTATCCTATACTTCTCATCCACAGCTGGCCAAGCACATTCTGGGAATTTTATAAGGTTTTCTATTTAGTATAACATCTTATACAATCAACCAGATAGTTTCATGAATATCGTCAAGATTCGGTGCAGTTTCTCATTATGAATTTTTGTACCAAGTAATTTTGGACTAATAATGAGCTGTTTTATGGAAAGAATTTCAGAAAGAGGTAGAAGATGCAAAAATTGTAGTCAGTAAATGAGTTTTAGGAGTATTTCAACTCAAGATAAGTTGCCGATTTATCAAAAAAAAAACATTCAGCACTTCATAATAATTGTCGTGATTAATATTTCCAGCAGTTCATATGAGACAAGCAAAGAATCTTAAATGCACTTTAGGTGATTCCAATTCTGAGTAATCCCGACCGATTTGGCTTCGATTTTGGAGTGAAAACCCGTTTTGCCTTTGAGGTGATTGTACCTTCTATTCCGGGCCTCGCATTCTCCGATAAACCTTCGAAACCAGGTTTTTCACATGAAAGTTATCTTGTGATCACTTTTAGAACAATCGAAAACGAAAGTTGGCATAGACGTTTGACCACAACATATTTCGTGTAGAGATGATTCGTTTACAAAAGGTCATACTTCTCGGAAATTCTGATATTTAGGAATATGAGAAAAGCATATATTTTATTGAGCGGATTGGAACTCTGTCATTTCGTATGGTCAGCAGCCAAATCAGTGCAGTTGTCTCGTTCAAGCCACCTGAAGGCTTGATTTTGAACGAAAAACTGTTGACGCTTGTGAATTCTGATATAGCCTAGCCTGATGCAAACATTTTGTAGATTGAAGATCGATTTTCAAGCTTTTTGCATCTGTACATCCGTATCTGGTAGAAAATATCGTATTCGTACATTATATATAAACGCAATGTGGATGCGACACGTCAGCCATTTGCTTTTCAGTGAAATAGTTGTATGATACTTTTGAAATAAGGCATCATAAAATCATTTGTAAGCCGAACTCCGAGGAGGAATTTTATGGTTTTTGTAAGATCCATATAAACAAGCGGTCATTGCGATCTTGCACTTCGTGTCCCTCTTTGGTCGCATGATAGAGCGCCATTCCCCCACTGCAACAATTTACGTGACCATAGTTTTACTCTCCCCTACTCCCATCCTCTGATAAAATTGATTAACTGATCGAGAAATTTTCTGCAAAGAATTCGTTGACCTGACCAAACAAATCAATTTTCATTGATCAAATAAGCATTTTGAAAAAAAATTGGTAATACTTCCCCTCTGACACTCCTACTGGAGGACAATGTCCCCTATGAGAACAACTGATATAGAAAATTACTTGAGGTATCAAATAATCATGATTCCTTAGCAAATAAATCCAATTTTTGAATATACGCTAGATGAAAAGCGTGTACGTTAATCAATAAACACGTCAATTCTCAAGTTGTGTATGCATATATGATAAAGCGAATTGTACAGTTGTATGGCTGCCACCACTTCTAAGCATTTGATCCCCAGATGAGTAAGCTAGCTCAAGTTTTTCTATGCTTTTAGGTTTTTTAAAGCAAGCTTATGGTTTCTTTTTTTTGGATGGATCACAGTTGTGAAGCGGTAAAATGCACAGAACAGATCGCGGTATTGCGGGGAGTGATCGTAATGTAATCTATGTTTACAGGATTGGGTATCGTTGAGTCGGCTCGTATTTTGGGGAAGTTAATGGAAAAATTGGGTTTCCTTAGCTATTTTGTACATGGGCACGGTTATATCGGATGTAACATCGGTATATAATCATCCTCTGTTCTCATTTCAATTCACTGATGGAAGTTCTCAAACAGTTTGTATAAGTACAAACAATTATTTAGATAGTTTTGGGCACAGTAGAACTTCATGGTTATCCATTGAGAATAGAAAGTGCAGCAAAAGTAACGACATTCGTTTTCGGCTGAACAAAAATTGATAACAGTCCTTTAAGGAATGTAAATTAGTGGGTAAATGATGAAGGAAAATCATATAGTGACAATCAGAAACAGTTGAAATATTTGAGCTGATAAAAGAATGGAGAAATAAGAACAAATGATGCACTACAGCTTAAAACGACGTTACTATTGCTGCAACTTCGAATTTGTTCACGTCACCGGTCGAATGGCATTTGTCAATATCTTTTAAAAAAACTATTCAAAAAATATTGTATGAGCATGTCGGTACTATTCTTGTGAATGATAAGACAGTTTCATGTTGCATATCATTAATGACAATTATCCGAAAAGGAACGCTCGTAACAATTTGTTACATTCAGCTGACACAATTTCGCGGTTGCATCCTGACTCTGTTCAAGGGCTACATGTCGGCAATCCTTCAATGCCAAATTTCTTATCGACACAGTTCATTTTCAAGCAACATCTTGATAACCTGCTCTCTTACATTTTCAACTTTCACTCAATTGCAGCCGTTGATTTCGCAAGTCAGTCTCATCTGTTAGAAACTTTGAGTTTCAAAACAACTTCGGATGAACCTGGTAAAGTCACGTAATTGTGATTTAACACTTTAAAATTTCAATATTGTTCGGTATTATGCAATGTATGCTTCTTTAATCGAATGATTCCAGATTCCATGTTCCAACTGACTGAATTTATCTTGAATCGTTGGGCGTTGGCTACTGATGAAAACTATCATTTTAATAAAACAGTGCAATTATACAAATTTTACACAGCTGACGAGATGCTCATGAATATTTTCATGTGTATAATCACAAATACAATTTCCGGTGGAATTCGCCTTCTTGCGAATAGCGTCAACCAAGAACATATTCAAATGTTCAGGTATGAGTCATAATGATGTTGAATGGCAAGATTGCTGAAATCAATATTTATTTTTGCTTGATGTACTTCACTTGCATGAAACTTCGGACAGGTGTAAATTAAAGAAGGACGAGTTTGAATTTGAACTGACTATGAGAAACGAATTCCTTGAAAATTTTTTAAACCGTCTTGATATTTGATTTAACTTAATTTTGCAGTGATTGCAGGTCAACTGTGCTGATTCCAACCAGCGTGGTTATTGGGAACAGTTCTTCGATGAAGCATACTCTTGAAATACTTCGATATCGTTACTCTAATATTACACAATATGTCACTCTGGATGGAAACGGTGAATATATTGCTCTTCAGTCCCCCAAAAAATTCGCCGAAGATATTTTCTCTTTTGTCGAACGCATTGTTAAATAATTTGTTCCACAACAAATTTTTTTGGCAAATATTTCATCGAGCTCCACCGACGCCAAATATTTCGGAAGAAT